AGGACTGATTGCAAAACCGAGAGACCAGCTTCAGAAAAGCCGTTAAGTTGAGCAACTCAAGGACAGTATTGCACAATCAAGTTGGTTCTCTGCCCCCCCACTGCCTTTCAAAACCGAGCCCAAACTGTGAATTTGCGTAAGTGGGAAGTTTCAGGAGCGTAAGAGAACAATTGCTCCTATTGACACCGGTGAAACCGCTTAGACAAGTTGGGCGGGTCTGAAGGCGAACCTGTTATTTAATGACCTGACCTCAAACAAACCCTGATGAAGGAGTACAAAGCGACCTGGCAAACGATTGCGCTCATACGTACCTTGTAGTGCATGTCGTCCTGGTCCGCCCAGAAGTAAGGGTCCGCAACTGTGGGACCCTCAATCTCGTCTGCAGAAAATTCCATCCTCTCAAAAGAGACAAACAATTCTCCTAGAATATCCTCAGACTCGAACGTCTCGCAGCCCTCTATTTGCCGAATGTCACTCTGCCTGTAAAAAGCATAACCCGCTGCAACTTTCCCCTCCGGATGATTTACAAGAATCTCGGTGACGCGGACGACGTAGGGGGACAACTCCCCACCCTCACTAGACCGTAAGAAAACGCATTGCCCAACAAAAAGAGCCCCTTCTGATGCCGGCGGCAGGTGCTCGTGCCAATTGCGATTTGGCAGAACAACCGCGGGGAAGTAGGGCTGCCCGGCTGGTGGCTGCCACTTGGACAGGATGTCTTTGATGGAGACGGGGGTGGATGACCTGGCAGGGGACTCGTGGACGGTACCTGCCATTGAAAGGACGGCGTCCCTTTCAATGGAGAAAGATCCAAAAGTAGCACACTTCTGCTAGTGGACTCAGTGGTTGTAAGTTCTTTGTATCTAATGCAAAAAGCTGAATATAGTGTGAATACAGTGAGCTCATAAGCAAACTTAGAACTTCGTAACTGGTCCCACGTAACTACTCCCACCACGACCGCAACTTTATATCTGATCAGGGGCCACACCATGGGACAGAAGCTTCCTCAAAGGACAACTCCCGCAACATTGTTTTCAAGTCCCGACTATTCTTGCTTGCATGCACTGTCATCACGTGCACTGCTCCAGCTATTCTGACTTTGGGGGGCCAGACATACCCGTGTTTTTACCCCCCCAGATTGTACCAAGCAGCAAATCTGCAACGCCCGGCAAAAGGCAGAACTAATATCTTACCTGAGCTGCGAGCACGCTTGTTTCGAGGCTTCTCTGGGCTTGGAGAAGCTTCGCCGTAGTCGTACAGGTCGCCGTGGCTCGAGTGAAGAGGTCGACCTCTGCTCGAGCTCATGGAGGATGTCCTAGGTGTCAGCTTGGCCGAGCCAGCTGCGGACGTCTCGGCGTGGTTGGCCATAGCATCGCGCGCATCTGGCTCTGCATCCCCCGGGTCTCCTGCAAAAGTTTGTCCCAGAAAGCATCAGCGTGGTCCAGTGGTCCAGTAGGTTTTTAACCGTATAGGTGGAACAGACTGATCAGATACAATTGTAACATGCAACCCATACCTATCCCAAACCAGGAGGTCAAGCGCCCGCCGTGAGCAACAAAGGGTGAACCTCCAGAGTATGAACCCAGTGGAATATACACAGCTTTGTATGGTTCACCGTGACCAAAAGTTTAGCCAGATGTCGGCATTGCACCATGGACTCCAAGACCGGTAGGACTCCAAACACAGATAAGGTAGAAAGATGCTCGTTGCTTCACAGTAAGCAATCAGATTTGATGAGCCCACAAGAATGCATGCCCAGGTTGACCACCTTGTCTGGTCCAGGAACTTCAAACTCAAGCTCACCTTGCGGCACAATCGCAGGAATCCACTTTTTGTATACTTCCCAGAACTTCAGCACGTCCCAGTTAACCCGATTGGCTGCCAACCACCGCTCCAGCGCCACAGTGCTCGCAACATATTGAGTGCCGCTTGCTCCAGGAGGCCAAAGGTAGCGGTCCGCAAAGGTGCCATCTGGCTTCACCCTTTGACCCACTCCCCAAACCCAGCCATCCGGAGCATATGGCCTGCCTACTCCCTTTGCCCCCACTGGGACAGGGGGGTATTCTGAGAAGAGCTCAGGGAGAGGAGCGTAGTCAGGGCGTGCTGATGGCGCTGCGGTACCTGCACAGTCGCATCACCATCAATCATCTTGGCAAAGCTTTGCCAACTCCTTCCAGATCCAAATGAGAGATCAATTGGTGAAGACAGCTGCTTGCAATTTTGCATGACTGGAAGGATTATGGGAAGTCTCAGAACTTGATCTCATGTCCTGCAAACACAATGCACAGACAGGAGGCAATCACGACACGGTCCGAATGGTACTTTTGTCATGTCAGCGACCAATAATCCTGCTGCACTTGATTTCTAGTGAATCAGAAAATAGTACTTGTTTGCCCAGTACATGGAATAAAGCACCAAGAAGAAGAAGCCGCAGAAGAAAAAGTGAGTGCCAAAAATTCAATCGGAGAGAAGCGCCCTGTACAGTAGGCTCTGCATGCAATCCACATTTGAATTCAACCTCAGCATGTAATCTTTCAACAATTAATTGCATTGCATTGCGCGCAAGCTCCTTACCAACTTCTGCCTTTGAGGCAGCCTCCGCTTCCGAACTGGCAGGAGCATATGGAACCGGCTGGGAGATGACAGGCATGTCTCCTTGTGTCTCTGCACATCGATCAAAGCATCACACGGTTTGCAATTGAACAAATCCTGGTCGGCTCCTATATAGAGCAACCAAATAGGAATCTAAATGTGTCATTCACTCGACAACCAAGCTGTTTTGATCCACTTGATTCAGCCACTAAGGTCAACCAACTTGATCCAGCCACGATCAAGCAACTAAGGTCAAGCGGCTGAGGACATTGTCATCCAGAAATGCTATTTTGAAGCTGAGTTTACTGACAACCAAGCTCACTGGCTATTGCAAGGCGTGTCCTGAGAGTATTTGCAACCCACCCTGAAGAGCGGCAGGAATCTTTGACTTGTACTTCACAACGAATTCCTCAAACACCCAATCAGGATGCTTGTCAGCCAGGAAAGCTTTCACTTCCTTGCTGCTTGATAGCATCTGAGCACCAGGCGGAAACCAGTAGCGGTCTACATAGCATCCGTCCTTGCCCACCCGCTTCCCGACCTTCCAACCCCAGCCTTCCGGTGCATACGGGGCCCCCATACCCTTCTCCAGAGGTTTAACTGCTCTGCAAAGAGAGCTCTGAGCATTAAGTCCTGCTTGTGAGGTGACTGGCTGGGAGCTCAACGAGGCAGCCATTGCTGACGCCCTACTAAAGTTCCAGTCTGTTCAGCCCAAGAAGGAGCTTTTGCGAGTGAGCCGCCTGGAGATTTGAAAAGAACCTCAGGGACGACCGCGCCAAATCAACCTTGTCGGAAACAGGGCCCTTCGCGTGTGAGCCCCGGGTGGAACCAAGTTTAGAAATTTCAACGGGGGGGTCCGATCGGGCCGCAAGACCACCCCCAGTGAAGCTTTCGAGCACTTCGGACCCAGTTTTTGAAGTTTCAACTTCGGTCGGAAGTTTCGAAAGTTCAAGTATTCTCAGTTGCGAAGTTGCAGCAAGCCGTCCCTGATTGGTCAGATCGGTGAACCAAATCTTCGGCAATCAGCCGTGGGCCACAGAATCGCGCGACGCTCTAACGTCGGTCTGGAAAAATTGGAATGAATGTAGTAGGCTCACTTGTACATAGGCCACATACCTGACTTTTACTGCCGCCACAATATTCCTTTGCCGGTTGTGTCTGAAAAGGACGGGGAGTCTGCGCATCAGCAACTCATTGAAGGCTGATGCAAAACGAAGCGATAAAAATCTCAACGTGATTGACACCACCCGAACTTACTTCGGAGCTTGTACATGACATCGTCTTGCGGGATTTTATCAACAGCAATCGTGTGAATCTTGTGGGCAGGAAGAAATCGGACTCTAGTTTTCGCCAAACAGTCATCCCACATCTTGCTGTCTTCGCTTGCGTGTTCGGTCTGACGAGTCTGACGCGCAGACTCTTCAACCAAATGCTTCGCATCATCCATCTAAAAGGCCTCGCTTCTGGGTTTGACTTCGTGTTTGAGAGTGAGGCAGCTCGTAAGGCGTGGTGTCAGAACTGTTTTCAAGCCCC